GCACAGCCACCTGATGTGGTAAACTCAGAATCTAGAGGCACCAAGGAGTGGGACAGAGCTGCCTGGCCCCTGCTCGGGAGGCCTCTGCTCCAAGGCCTCTGCTTGTGTGTGTGTGTGTGTGTGTGTGTGTGTGTGTGTGTGTGTGTAGGTAGGGGGTAAAAGGTGCTCAGGTGTGATTTGCACTGCCTGTAGCTCTGTAGGGAGGCTTGGAGGAAGCATAGACCAGGGCCCACTCGGAGGCTCAGCAACCTAACTACAGGTTTTCCTGAAGCTGTTCCAGGTAATGATGGTAGCTACCTTCTGTTGAGTCCTCACTATATGCCATGATATACTATGTGTATTATTTCATTTAACCCTCACAGCAGCCCTGAAAGGTAAATATGTTACTGGCATTATTTTCTAGATGAGGAACTGAAATTCATGGTAATGTGGTAACTTACTAATCACATAGCTGGTAAGTGGCAGAGCAGGGATTCAAACCTAGTGTATTGGACTCCAAAACCTGTGCTTTTAACAACTATATTGTACTTCTTTCAAGATGGGTCAATGGGGCAGGGGAGGTTCCTATATGGAGAATTAATAATGATCTTTTTCTGTTGAGACAGCCCTCCAGAGTTTACAAAGCCCAATTTTATATGTAATCTCACTGCACCCACTTTACAGATAAGGAAACTGAGGCTTAGAGGTAGGAAGTCACTTGCTCAAAGCCATTTGGGCAAACTGGATAAACTGCGCAGAGGTGATGCTCTTCAAAAGGAGTAGCCAGTCTGCAGGCTGCAGAAACTCAGTGTGTGCAGGGAATTGCGTTGGCCTCATCACACTGACCCATGCTTAAGGGCAATGATGGTATCAGTCTGGCTAAGGAAGATCTCTGACAGATGAGGGGACCAACTGGTGTGGCCACAGATCCAATTGCAGGAGACAGCAAAGGGCTCTGCGTTCACAAAAAGGAATCCCACATCTAGCCAAGGCCCTATTTATTTTTCAGCAACACTTGATATGGACAAATTCCAGTTCAACTAGAGAGATTCAGCTTCCTGGTGTTCCCTGGGGGAGGGAGGGTTCTAACTATGAATGGAGCCCCTTTCTTGTGTTGGGCCATCCTCAGCAAAAAAGGCTGCAAGACTGAGCTGAGCTGCCTGAGGAGTGGGGAGCTGCAATCTGCCTGCTTGGCTTCCTCCCAGAGGAGAGGAGCTGTATTAGCCTGAGCCCCAGGGGCCCTTACTGTTAGGCCTGTCCTGATGCTTTGCCGAGCTCCAGGGCACCTGTCCTAGAGAGACAAGGCAAGGCTGTCTTTCACTGTTCCCCAGGTGACTCGCGTCTGGAGGAGTGACCAGGCAGGGATCCAGGCGACAGGACAGAGGGGCCAGGGCAGCCACTGTTGTTCACTGCTGGAAGTGTGCCAGGGAACTAGGAGGTGAGCTGCGATCCTACCCCCTCTTCACCTTCCTCTCCAGGAGACCCTGCCCTCCATGCTGTATGAGGGTAGGTGGGGAGCAGGGGAGGTGAGCAGCCTCTTGGCCTTCTGGATTTATTTTCCCACAAGCAGTCTGTGAGCTCTGAATCTAGGGCAAGTGTTAAAGGCAGGAATGGCGGGGGGAAAAGCAGGTTCATGAGGTCAAGCCCAGCCCTTCCAGGTCTGAGAAGTCCAGCACAGGCTCTGGGGGCAGTCAGTCCTGGGTTTAAAAGCCCAGCTTTACTACTTGCTTTTCTTGGGCAAGACTTTAACTTTTTGCCATACTTACACCCAGCATTTATTGAGAGCCTTCTATGTGTTAGGGATTCAATGGTAAGGAAAAAAAATGGACTCAGTTACCTTCTTGGAGCTTACAATTAGTGAAAGAGATAAGTATTAATCAAACAACCAATAACACACCACCACCATAAAAAAGGTGAAATGCCCAGGAGAGATGCATGGTATATAATTTGGGAGAATTCGCCTGTGGGAAGTCAGAGAGGGCTTTCCTAAAGAAATGGTAATTTCAGCTGAGGTTTGGAAGGAACAATAATGAAGCTGAGGTCTGCCTGTTTACTGAACAGAGTTGGGGGTGGGGGGCATTCCATGCAGAGGCAACAGGATATTCAAAGGTAGACCATTTGGCAAGAGGGAGAATGGCTCCTCCAAGGAATTGGAAGACGGCTCATGAGGCTGAAGTACAGAGTGGAGAAGCAGATGGGGGCAGACCATGTAAGAATGTGGGGCTTTATAAGAGCAATAGGTAGCCTGTTGAGGTGATCTAAGCAGGGAGGTGAATTAAAAGATTACTCTGGCAATAGCAAACAAGGCATTGGGAGGGAACCAAGGCACATTCAGGAGACCAGTTAAGAGGTCTCAGGTATTTGCCTGTAAAATGTGGATAATGATAATACTACCTCATAAGCCGTTGCCCAGATTCAATGAGCTGCTACATTTTAAGCATTTATTCCAATACCTGGCACATGGTAAAAGGTTCAGAAAATGTTATTGTTGCTTTTATTGTTAGTTCTCTACAAAGAACAGATCTTTCTGCTTCATGGCTGCTCCTGTGAGATGGGCTGGGAGCGGGTAGTGGTTGTTCCTAGGGTGGGAAACGTGCCCTAGGGTGGGACTGTGGTGTGCACTCTCACAACTTCGAGGCCAGAACCGAGGATGCCCCATTAGAATGGCTTGACAGTATGAAAGATTCACGAAGAAAACCGGGTTCCAATTGCTCCCACAAACATGCTGGAGAGACGGTAAGCCTCTAGTGTTGGCTGAGAAAAACGTGTTTTTCTGCGGGGTGTTCTAAAGAACAGGTGTAGGGCCCGCATTCGTGCGCATTCGCGCGGAGGCTGGGACCCTCAGACTGACCCGCTTCCGCCCGGCGCTGCTTCCCGGGCTTGGAAGCGCAGGTGCCAGGACCCAGGCAGAGGGTACCAGGAGGGAGGGTCCCCGTAGGGCCAGCTCCAGCCGGCCGGCAGGGGCTGCCCCCTCCCCAGTCACGTGGCCTGGTGGGTGGGGACCGACCTGAAGTTGGAGAAATCCTGAGCGATCCCAACTTCTCAGTGTGCCGCCGGTCCGCCCAAGCCCGGGGTGTGGGCGTGGGGCTCGGGAAAGGCGCAGAGGTTGCAATTTGCGAAGCCGAGCAGCGTCGCAGACGGCGGGACTCCGGGCATGGCCCAGCTGTCCGTGATCCCGGGGTCCGCCACTGCGTGGACAGGTGAGCGGGAACCCTGGGGCGGCGACCGCTGGAGTGGNACCATAAGATGAGAATTCAAATGTAATATAACCTGAGTCATTGACCTGAATGATGTGGAGGTGAGATGAGCTACACCGGGCCGTCCTGTCCAAGCACATCAGTAACTTTCTGCTCATGACTGTGTGAATCTGTACTGCTGATTTCACAAGAAAGCTAGGGATGGGAATACGATGGGGGTTGGAAGTGGGCTGCATACACCTGGTTTCTGTGAAGCATCCTCCAGGAGTGGACCCGTGCACCAGAGCTGTGCTCCTAGTATAAGCATGAGCCACTGAGGCCCTCCTGAAACTTCCTCTCTATACAAGTCAACCACCCTAGCTGACGTTATGGTCCTGTTGAAAGAAGGCTGGCTGGCTGGGGCTTCTGTTGCCACCTGCTAAATCAAATATGTATTGAACATCTGCTCTGTGCCAGGTAGTCTTCTAGGCCTTAGTGATGCACGGTGACAAGACAGACAAGGTTCTTGCCCTTACGGAACTTACATTTTAGTGGGAGGAGACAGACAATGAACAAATTAGTCATCAGCTAGTGGTAAGTACTATGTTAAAATTAAAGTAGGTTAATCTAACAGGTAACTGTGTGGTCACTTTAGGATTGTGGATTGTGGATGGCCTCTTTGGGGAAATGACATTTCAACTGGAAACTAAGTGGCAAGAAGGGTTCAGCCTTGAGAAGATCAGGGGAAAGAGCATTCCAGATAGAGGACAGCCCAGTGCAAAGGCTGTCAGGGACGGACAAGCATGTGTGTGGATCACAGACCAGCGAGAAGGCAAGTGGTACGAGATGAGGCCGGGGGCCAGAGCACGTCAAGCTTTGGAATCCAGAATGAGGGGTTCAGGTTTAATTCTAAATATGTTGTGAAGCTTTTAGAGGGGTTTAAGCAGAGGTACAATATGATCTGATTTATGTTTTTGAAAGACAGCTCTAGTTACTGTATGAAGAGTAGATTTTAGAAAGCAGGCATGGATGCAGAGAGCAGTTAACAAGCTATTGCAACCAGCCAAGCAGTCATCCAGGTGGAGATGAGGTTGTCTGGGTTAAGGCAGTAGTAGTAGACATGAGAGAATAGCAGGATTCTGGACATGTTTCAGGGGAGAGTCAACAGAACTTACTGATAAGGATTGGATGGAAGGGGGAGGGAAAGACAGCAGCCAAAAATGACTCATAGTTGCCTGGGCAACGGATAGATGGAGAAGACTTTGGGGAGGAGCAGGTTTGGGACATGTGACAGTTTTAAAACATGTCTGCAAATTCTTTGATGCTCCTTCCTTGGAAAGTTGGGGATCTTTAACCCTCCCCTTGAATCTGGGCAATATTATATGTGACTGCTTGACCAATATTATATGGCAGAAGTAATGTTTTACCAGTTTCTGGGCCCAGGACTTAAGACGCTGGCAATTTCCACTTTTTCTCCTTGGGAAACTCACACTGGGAAGTCAGTCCCCATACCTTAAGGAAGCCATAGCACCTCGTGGAGAGGAACCAACCCCCCCACCACCACCACCACCACAACCCAGCTGAGCTCTTAGGTGACAGCTAGCAGAGCCTGCCAGCTATGTGAGCGAGCTGTCTTAAGCCTCAAGTCAAGCTTCCCCAGCTGATGCTCCACAGACCCGTCCCCTTTAAGCCAAAGTTACAGACTCGTGAACAAAATCAGTGATTTATCGTAATTTTAAGGCACTAGGTTTTAGGGTAATTATTTATGCAATAATAAGACATTGGGAAAAAAGGGAAGACCAAGAGTTCAGTTTTGGCCATTCTAAGTATGAGGTGTCTATTAGATATCCAAATGGAGAGTTCAAATAGGCAACTGGTTCTATGAAGCCCCAGGAGAGGTCAGGGCTAAATATAAATTTTAACGTCACAGAATAAAGACATGAAACTGGTTGAGGTCACCTGGGAAAGGTATGGAGATAAAAGAAGACGAGGGAGCTCTGAATTCTGGGGTTCCTTATGTGGGCACAGGGACCAGGACTTCGGGGAGCTGCATACTAAGTAAACAGGAAGAGTCAGAGCTGAGTTTCACCTTCCCTCCAAGACAGCTAGTTCTGTGGGAAAACTCTGTGGGGGTGGAATCTGGACAAATCCTTCCTTCCAGCTGTGGATATTGTTCTTGAGCCATTTACTCAAGTGCTGCATTCGTGGATTTAGCAACCTTTCCCTTGAGTTTCCAGTGCTAATGAAAAAATGTTTGTCTTTTCACACTAACAGCTGATTATCTTCACTGTGGAAAATTGCTTCCTCTGAATCATTCTCCGAACTGTTAAGTGTGTTGTCTGCAGGCACTCACTGGATTTAGGTTTGCAGGTGATTTTAAAATTATGTGGTAACTTGGGAAAGGTGGTGGTTGTACCGCACAAAGCAAGGACTCGCTTGCCCTTGGGCAGGTCTTTGCAGGGAAATAGATGCACCAGGGCTATTGGCTGCAGCAGACCTCTGGGAAACCCAGGGGTCCACACCAGGCCCAGCCTCACTCTTCTAAGACAGGAGAGATGCCTTTTACTGGGGCTGTCAGCATCTCGGCTTCCTTTCGCACAGCAGGATGGGTCCTAAGAACTTGACCCGTCTATATCATTTTTACCCTGTATTTGGGAAGCAAATGGGTAGGTGAGGTTGGAGTAAAGCAGTTCCTCATCAAGTGGAAGGAGGCTTGTTACCTATGGCCTTCTTGCTAGGCAAGCCATCCTCTGAATTCAGGTGCTAGGTCTGGCCTGTTGAGGCCCATCTATAGGAAATGAGAAGCCTTGGTGAGGTTTCCTTTCTGTGACATCTTCTACTCCAGGGGCTTGTGAGCCCAGCTCAGGAATGTCCTGAATATTTGTGGTACCTGGCTTCCTTCTCCCTTCGGGCAGCCTTGATCAGCCTGCAGACCACCCACAGGGCCCTAATGGCCCAGCAATGCTCTTCCACAAAAACTTATCTACTCAGCAGGGATCACTTTCCAGAGAACAGAGTAGGAGCAAAATGGATTTAGAAAATGAAACCACTCTAATTCACAGGCCAGGTGTTCTATAAAAGGGACACAAATTAAATCCACCTACTACAAACAATGACAGTAACTTAGCATTGCTTGGTTTCAGAATATCTCATTAGGAGGATGTGACTGCAGACCTTAGTTACTCATAATTCTTTGTTATATATTTGCTCATTCATTCATTTATATACCATATTTATTGAGGGCTTACTAAGGGCTAGTTATTATAGGAGCTGGCGATACTGTAGTGAGCAAAATAAAGTCTCTGCTCTTGGGGAATTTAGATTCTGGTGGAAGAAGACAGAAAAGAAACAAATAAACATATGTTGTCAAGTCTAGTGTGATAACTGTTATAAAGAAGAGTGAAAGGAGAGACGATGAGGAGGTAGGTGGTGGGAGGCAGTTACTATTTTAGATAGAATGAGCTCATTATTGGAGTCATGAGTCCAGGTTCCTCCCAGGGGACCGGCTCCTTAAACCAAGTTTGGCAGCACTGGCCCTGGTAAGCTCCTCTACCCACCTAGCGAGAACTTGACATTTATTTTTTTATTATTTTAATTATTTTTTATTATTAGTTTCAGTTGTACAGAACAATGCAATAGTTATCCTTTACACCCCTCCCACCCCCGATATCATACTTATCTATTACAATTCCATTGACTCCATTCCCACACTCTACTCCACTTCCCTTGACTATATGTATAGATAATTATAGTTGACATACAATATTATTCAACATCAGCTTCAGAAATACAGTGCGATGGTCAGGCCTCTCAACCGTCTATGCAGTGGTCTCCCTGTTAGAACTTGACATTTCATCTGTCTGCCAAGCTGACCAAAGTTCCAGGTTGTGAGCAGCCATTCTGCAATTCCTAGAGCAGGCACCACCTAGTGGTTGTAAAGTGGAACTAACCGGTGTTTTAATCACTGCCTTGGAGCTTAAATGCCCTTGGAGTTAAAAATGCCCATAATTCAAGACAAAATGTTACCAGTGGGGCATTGGGGACCAGGGCTGTGGCTTGACAACTGATTGATCGATTGCATGTTGTTTCATACAGACCCTTGGAATATATCTGTTTAGATCTTTTCCTTCCCTCTGCCTAATGACAAATGACCAGGTGGGAAGTCATTGATTTAGGTCCTTTCAAACTAACAACAATATCAACAATGCTCTGAATCATGTCCAAACAGAGACACACTCTCCCTCTCCCCCTCCCTCTTCCTCCCTTCCCCCCCACACACCCCCTACACCTCCCCCACATTCATCCATTCATTGTTATGGTCTAGGCACCATGTGGATGAGATAGGAGGAAATAGGAGTTGAAAGGCTGAGGGGGAAAATTACCCCAAATTGTAACCCTGTGTAATGTTTCACATGTATTTCGAAGAGCTACCCTACCTCACCCCCACCCCACCCCCCGACTTGGACCATCTTCTGACCCTATATTCTATCCTAGAGCTGAAGGATAAATTTAAGGCACAGTTTGGAGTTTTCTGTCGTTTTCCCTCCACAATGCAAAAAGCAGAAATACAAACCTACCTCAAATCTAAGCTTGGTGCTGGCTTTGCCTTATTAAACACATTTTGTCGTTGAAAATAAGTTAACTTTTAATTAATTAAAAGTTGCTGAGCAGGAAATGGAACGGATGCCCCAGGGAGGACAGAGCCCAGCAACGTGTGACTGACTGCCATGGCCAGCAGGAGAGGGTGGCGGTAAGGAGTGTGAGCTAGTGGTGAACCCTGGTCGGGCCTGCATGCTCAGCCCTCTGCAGCCTTGTGGGTAACTCACTGTGCGTGACCATGAACTGCTCGTCATCACACGATGCCAATGAAGTTGCATATATTTGATGCCTGTCCATTGTACCAAACCATGCAAGATGGTAATGGTGGCAAAGCAAGAATATGTGCCCAGAACCCCAATGTTAGAGCCAGCTGGCTTGAGGAAGGCAGCTTTTAGCAGCCACATCAGGTACCAAAGCTGGAGTTTTGGGTGATGAGGGTGCAAGCATAAGAGGCTTGGTAAACCCTCACACAGGGCTTCCAATGAGGAACTGAGGTGACTTAAGCAGCATCACTAAACCAGTATCCCCCTCTCATAATATTCCTAATACACTTTTCTAAGAATGCATTCTCTCTATTGATCTTAGTGAAAGATTTCGCTAAGATTTGTTTCATAATGCTCATTTTCTCCAAGACTCCCATTATGTTCTCTGCAGTAGCTGGTTTTGTATCTCATCTNTACATTGTAGAGTGGTGGAGGGAGTCTAGGATGCAAGTGCTCTTGTGAGAAGATCCTGAGCTTTTATATGCAGTGAAGAGATGAGATATAGTGCAACATGATGGTTCCAGAAAGACTAATAACATCCTGGTATATAATTAGGCAGCAGACTGCCATGATTCCAGAGGAATTAATAACCATCTGTAAAACTGCAATTATTTTTCTTTTGGATGGGCTGTAACACCAAAAGAGAGGAAATGGAGTAAAGTAGAAGTATTGGCACAGAAAGTCCATAATTAAGTATTTATCCACCAACCCATAACAGCTCGGGTGCTAGCTGTTCCGATCACATTACATAACTGTGTGAAACCTTGGCTGTTTCTTTCCTTCCTTCCCTGCACAAGCAAGTTAAATTAATTAAGACTTTCTCCACAATATTCCTTGCTTATATCAATATCAAGTACGACTGCCGTTAAACATATAGCCTAATGAGGATAGATTGAAATAGAAAAGACAAAGAGAAAATTAAACATTGAACAAAGTATCTTCTCAAATTAGATTAACCTACCTTCTCTGAGCTCTGCTATCCACAGATAGGTAAAAGGACATGTTAACTAAACTGCCTTGCACACAGGTGGGGATGTTAGCATGTGGAATAGGATTCTCTAAGTGTGTCAACTCTTGTCTTTCACCAATGCAGATAGTGACATAGATTTTTGAGAACAGGAGCTGAATCTATCTTTTTTACTATCCCCTGGCAGGTTTAGGACAAAGTGCTGAAACAAGAAGTGTAGGGTCACTAGCACTTTTTTGGTAAACTAATCCCAGGAAATCCCTAGAAAATTCCAACTATGGGTTAGAAGGTAAGCACTACAAGATTCTATGAGAAACCTCTGCTAAAGGGATTCTGATATCTTCCCGTCTGGTGCAGACTCAAGGAGCATGTAAAATCTCACAAGCATGAAGGAGAGAAGCTCTCTCTACCCCGGCATCTGAAAGTAGTGGGCCAGATCGAGCACCTAGTGATCACACTGGGATCCCTTCGCCTGGACTGCCTCGCAGCTGTGGTTGGTGAGTAGAATTGGGGACTGGACCTGTGGACCCCTAATGTAGATCATCTCTCTGCTTCCACTAAACCTTCATGAGATCTCATGCCTGTAAATATGAACTTCTTTGTAAACTGTGTCCCAATTTTTGCCCCCCAAATTACCAATTGGGCCCTGAGCTCCATAAAGACAAGTTGAGAATGACTCAGAAAAAGGAGTGTGTAACTCTTGATAAAAAATACTCAAGGGGCAAGCCAACAAACATTTTGCGTGCCAGTGAAAATGGCCCCTGAGAGCTTTCCATGAGCTAGTTAGAGGTAAGAGGGCAATATCCTCTTACTCCTTGCCATAAATGTCTTGATAATTTCCCACCATCTCTTATACTTTTCCTCATGTATTCTTTTCTAGGCTAGTCTATGTTCCTGGTTTTTGTCTAAAGGCCTTTGTCCTTTAGAGTTGCATTTGAATCTTGGCTCTATTGCCTTTTAACTATAATGATCTGGGGAAATTACTTAATATATTGGGTTGTTGGAAAAGTCATGATGCATTTTTGCAATGAAAAACATAGAAAAAATACTTTTCCATGACTTTTCCAACAGCCCAATAATAAATGCTCAACAGACATTTATTGGATGTATGTATGTATGTATGTATGAATGGATGGTTGGTTGGATGGAATCTAATGGTGGGTGATAAGGCTGACTTCTAAACTAGCATGGAAATGGCTGAATTTTAAATTTTTTTTTTTATTAGAGGATAATGAGAAAAATTTGTCTCTTGGTCTCCAGACTCTCCGATCCCTGAAGGTATGACTGATTTTATTTTCCATTTGATTCTTCCATTCTAAGGTAGGGCTATCTTACATAGATACCCCCAAAGTGAGATCACAGTGGCCAGTGATTCTCCTTTGTTTTCAGTGCATCATAAACTTGGATAAGCACCGACTGATCATGGGGAAGACAGACAAGGAAGAAATTCCTTTTGTGGAGACAGTTTCCTTGAATGAAGATAAGTGAGTGCCCAGATAGGTCAGATCAAGTTAAATCCACTTATTACCAGAGGGGTTCTCACACAGGATGTTGGGTTGTGTCCTGCCTTTGGCTTTCAGTCATACTACAAATACACCCCTCCCCACTCCCAGAGCCCACCATCCCACAGAACTCTCTAGCCCACATTTCAAAATGAGCAGTGATGATACTGCACCGAGTGGTGGGGAAAATGAGATGCTTTTAAACTAAACTTGTACTTGCCTTCAGCCTAACTTCTTTGAATTTGGTATCATTTCTCCTGTTTCTTTCTCATTTCAGCACTTCAGAAGCCTAACTACAGCCTGTAGCATGTCTGCACATGTGCATATACACAGGTTGACAGACTGAGAAAACTGGGTTCGAACCAAATGCAGTAGCAACTTGCTGTGGACCAAGTCCTTTTCTCTGATAGAAGCTCCAGGGGCCCCTTCCCACCCAGACCTCTCTAGACTTTAGTCTGTGCATACAGATCTTGTCGGGTTATAGCCATTGTTTTTTACTCCTTTGATCGCTTAATTTATAGACCTCTCTGACACTGCCAGGTCTCACTTGTGGCCTATTTCTCTGCTTTCTCCAGGAATTTGCTTTTATTAGTCAAGTATAGGAGCTGCCAGGGTCTATTTCTCCATAGATATACTTTCTTGTTTTCCTATAGCTAAAATGTTATAATAAACAGGAACCAGACCTTTACCTCCTTTTCACTGTTTTAGAGAGGTGCAGGATACTTACGTCTCAAAATTAAAATTTCTCCTAATTCATTCATTGATTTCTCAAATATGAATTGATCTGAAATCTGAAAGAGCCCAGTGAGATAATCTAGTTCAACTCTTTCATTTAAAGATCCAGAGAGGCAAGTGAATTGTCTAAGCTCATATAGCTGAGTCAGTGGCACATGGGACCTAGAACTCAGCCCTGACAAGCCAAGGCTATGTTCATTCTCCCATGCTGCTTCATTTGTCTTCAAGCCTTGAGAGGAGAATGAAGAGGTGAGGGTTTGCAGAAAGGCAAGGTAGGGGAATAATATACTTTAGGGATAGATGCTAAGAGGATCTTGGTAGCCCTCCTGTGTGCTAAGCCCACTAAAAGTCCCCTGCCCCAAGCTGTCACATTTAGGCCTAGATCTTGTATCTTGGTGCCTAGAAGCTGAGGGTACAAAGATGAATGAGATTGTCTTTTACCTTGAACTTCTTGGAGAGAAGAGGGGGAAGGAACCAGAGACAGAAGAACATTAATCACTCTTTGAGATGGAATTGAAGGCTTCAGTAAATGATCAGGGCATCATTGTCAGACATTGATACTCCCAAGATCCAGTCACTATTTCTGCCCAGCCTGTTATTTGTCTGCCATGGACTCAAGTAGCTGGGCATAGGAGAAGGGAAAGAAGATGAAAAAACCCAGAGCAGGTCCAGAATAGAAGGGAGTACTAGGTAGAACCAGATGGTGGGAAGGCTTACATAGGGAAACCTTTCTGGGATGGAGGTCGGGAATGAAACTTGCAGGCAGGGAATTGAGGGCTGGGAAATCCTTCAGCTCCATCCTGGTACAAGGAAAGAGGCAGGCAGGAGCTGACAGGATGAGGGACAACCTTTTCTGACTGCCCAATATTTCCTGACCCCTCTCAAAGGGTTGGAGATCACAAGGACTTCTTGAAGCATTTTTGTTGGGGTATCGGCTTGGGCACACAGATACCTATAATGGAATTTCTCCTTCAANTGTTGTAGCCAGGTTCATAAATATTCATCTCACTGAGGTAAGGACTTAACTTTTTAGGGGGTGGTACTTGACTCTTTTATTTTCCCATCAGTTGCTACTTGTAGGACTCTTTAAAATTTTTTAAAACAGTCGTGTCATAAGAATGTGCAGTCTTTCCTATATTACTGACCATCAGACCAAATCCCTAGTCATCCAGCAATAGGGAGAGTTTTGCTTTCCTATCTATGATTAATTCTGCTTATAGCCAAATGCTTTAGCAAAACTCTCTAGCATTAGGAATAAAGGCCAGGGGAAGGATGGCAGAACACACAGCAAAGCCGACTGACCGTGAAATGATTAGTCCTGTACTCACAGTATCTGATCTACCTGATCAGAATCTTTGTCAGTTGAAGCAACCATGGGTGGTACCCTATAGATTAGCCATTCATAATGCCACGAGACATCTATAATGCTACATGTTTTGGACCAGAGAACTTTGGCACCTTAGAAGTGGGGCATGAAATACCAGTATAACACCAGGATCTGATGCAAACTGAAGATTTTCAGAGCCGTGATTGCATTCTAATTATAGCAAACATTATTTGAACACTTTCTGTGTTCAGGACACTTGCTAGGTGCGAGGACCACAAAGAAGAAAATAGCAAAATTTTTCTCTACAGGGAGTTTATCTCTACAGGGGGAAGGACAGAATAGATTAATTAATTTATTCCACAAATATTTATTGAACACTTATTACATGTCAGGCAATAATCTAGCCATTGAAGACATAACAGTGGACCAAAACAGAGTTCTTGCCCTTATGGAACTCGTATTCTTGTGGGGGGAGAAAGCAGAAAATAAAAACAAGTAAATATATAATATATCAGGTATCAATCAGTGCCATGGAGAAAATAAACCAGGGTAAGGGGAATAGGGAGTGCAGTGGCCAGGGTAGGATGGAGTGGAGTCTTGCTATTTTATATAGGATGGTCAGGGAAGGCCTCTCTGATATGATTACATTTTAGGAGATAATGAAGTAAGTGAGAGAGCAAAATACCTTGGGGAAGAATGATCAGAGCAGTGTAATAGGAATGAAGGGAACAAGAAAAGATCGTGCTCTAGATATATTTTGAAGGTAGAGCTAACAAATTTAGTTGATGGATTGGATTAAGGGTCTGAAAAAAAGAGTAGTTAAGAATGACCTCAGGGTTTTTGATCTAGCAATTGGAAGAATCAAGGTGTCATTTACTGAAATGGGTAAGAATACAGGAGCAGGTTAGGGATAGGGAATAAGAATCAGGAGTTTGATTTTTGAACAAGTGAAGTTTGGGGTATCTATTAGTTATTCAAGTGTAGTTGTTGAGTCGACAGTTCACGAGAAGATAAATAACACCACGAGGAAGCCTGTGCTAGTTGCCAAGATGTTACAGTCAATACATGCTAGAGGAGTTCAATGGAAGAAGTGATTCCTTTGACCTGGTGTGACAACCAGTGATGGAGACCAGCATTGATTATAGCTTCATCATTCCCTGGTGAGTCACCTGATGATGAGATGGTATTGAGAGGAGGCTGCCTCCAGAGTGGTCTGTAAAACCTCAGAATAAGAACTAACTTAGAGGTTATCTGGTCCAATTCCCTGCCTATGTGTGAATCCTTTCTAACAAAAATGCAGCCTGCCCCGCCAGCTGAGAAGCAACCATGTCAGACCAATTCACAAGCAGGTAGCAATCAGGAATAAGGCTGTTCTCTTTGAAGAAACGTGTCTGTTGTGTCACAGGCAAAGGCAGAGAGACAGAACACAGAATGCCTGAGACAGTGTGACAGTCTACCTTACATAGGTTTCCATGTATTTTTGAGCAGTTGCAAACCCACAGCCAACCTGTCTGTATTCCCATGGGGTAGAATGCTGTTGGTGTCACATGTTGTATGTTCTAGTAAACAAAGGAGAGAAGGCACAGATAATCAGTGTCCTTTTAGATTTACAAGGCCAGGTAGAGACATGTATGTTGGGTTTGAAATGACAGTCAATCAGGAGTCCATGTTTATTTACAAATGTAAATGAGGACAAAAATGGAATAGGATAATTTCATGCTCTTTTAGAAAAAAAAAGTGAATGGTAATCAGCTTCAATTTTAGGTTGAGTGTAAGAATTTAAAGTATATACACATACATACACTTACTAACATTTGAGTGCTTACTGTATACCTGACACAGTGTTGAATGCTTCATACAGATCATGGCCTTTAATCCTCACAAAAGCACTCTGACATATTACTAACTTGAACTCAGCTCTGTCTGACTCCAAAGCATGTNTTGAGGCCTCTCCACTCTCCTCTCCTACCCATTATGGCACCACTTTGGCCTGCTTCTTATCCTAGGACTGAATTGAAATACTTCACCCCTTCCTTCCCTAGTTGAAAGTTCCACTCGAAGTCTTGACTCTTGATCACAAGTGAGGCTGGTTGGAAGTTCCTTGGCCTGGTTTATCCTTGTTTGGATTCCCTGTGGACCAGTGAGACTGGGAATTCCCAGGTGCTGGAAAGATGTGACTGATTCTGGCCCTTTGAGTTCAGGACTATATGGTGTCAGGGGGATGACTGGATGGCCTTTAGTGATCTTTCTGGCCTCTGAGAATCAGTGATTTTCCAATTTTGGAATGGAAACAGTTGGGGCAATCTGAGCTTAGGATATCATAGTCTTACTCAATGCATCAAAATTATTTGAATTCACTAAATGTGTTTTAAACCTTGGGCTTGATAGAGTTACCCAAAAATGCCTAAAGACAATTATGGGAAATCTTGAGCTTTATTAATCTTTTTTTTTTTTTTTAGCTGAGCCATTCTGCCACTTGTTGGCAGCTCGGCGACAGCTCAGCTCGGGCAGGGAATCGAACCACTGTTGCTCAGAACTCACACTCTTGAGCAAGCTCTTAACCAACTGAGCCACTTGGCCAGCCCCATTTATTAATCTTTAAATGCTGCCAAGTCCATTACTCCGAAAGCCCTTGATAGTCATTGGAGAGCACTGGGTCTGCTTTTTATGGGCTGGGAACCTAAGCAGGTAAGATCAGTTCTTGCCAGAATCCTAGAAAATTTCTTTGGTGCCTCTGATTGAGGGTGTAGGAAGAGAGTGTCTACCTAGGCCACAGTTCTGAAGATACGCAGTAGCAAGAAGTAACCCTGTAGAACTGGTACTCCTCTCATTCCTTACCAGATGTCCATCTCAAATACAGAACGTTTGGAAAATACTGTTTTCATCATTTGTTATTTCTATGCCTGACTTATTTGAGGAACAAATGTTTTATGATTTTTCTGTTTCCTCGCCTTGCACAGATACCACCTGGCAAGATTTTCTATTCCTTAGCTCAGAGTATCTTTTGAATGGATTGGTTGGTATGTCAACTGACGTCACTCTCGTGTAATAGAAATATCTTTCCAGGTTGGGGACATGGAGGAGATGACCTGGATTGCTCCCTCCTTCTGTTGCCAGGCTTCTGCATTGGCACTTTATCTGCTCAGTGTTTCTGGCCGTGCTGGGTTTATTTGTGAGATTGATATAAAAATAAAGTGATACCTTCCCCTCTGTGTGCTTGTCTGACAGTGTCTGCGTCAGGGCCCCTGGAAGGTGGGGGAGCCCTAGAATGCCCAATTGCATGTGTTTCTCTCATAGGGTCTTCTGAACATAAGGCTTTGTGGTCCTCATTTCCTCTATTGCTACTGGCCCTTCCGCTCTCCCTCTTACTGCCTGTATATTCTTTTTTTTTTTTTTTTTAGCTGAGCCATCCTGCTACCTGTTGGCAGCTCAGCGGCTGCTGCTGCCTGTATATTCTTGAGCACATTAGTGAACCTCGTAATCTGTAAAACAGAAGTGATGATAGTACTTTCTTTACCGTATCAAATGAGATAATCCATGTAAAGTAATTGGCATATGGTATTCCTCAAAGCTTTTAACTGCATATGAGAATTTTTTTATGGTGACTCACTTTTTATTTAGTTCAAACAAATAGGAGAGGTTTGGGAAGGGGAAGGAAGGGTTGACTGAACCTTAGTAGTTAAAGCCATTGTCTAAATGACATTCCAAATAAATGCACTTTACAGATGATAAAAACTTACCTTTAAGTATGAATGTTTTAAATAGTTAAACAGTATGGTTAAATAGTCAACAAGAAACATTCTTTAACTATGACAATGGTTATCATAATCTAGAATTATGGTTCTATTAGTAGTCAGATAATGCTACCATTCCACCTCAAAAGGTTTTCTGTCTTAATTCTTTCCGTTTATTCTAAATATAAAAAAAATGTAAAAAGACAACTCAACTGGACTGTTAAGCAATGAATGACAGAATCAAGTTTCATAATCATCTTAGTAGAATGAAACCAACAAAATTAAGTTTTAACAAAGTTAAAAAAAATTCATTCTTTCATTTTTAAAAAATCTATTGCACTTGCACAGTGGGGGAGAATTTGGATGAACAGAAGTTCATGTGAAGATGATGTTGGTGTTTTAGCTGATTACACATTCTGTATGTAGAAGTATTAAGGATTCTGTGTGTAGGAGATGTCATTTGTAAGATAAGGACATGTACACAATATGTAAAGTGTCCAGAAAAGGAGAATGATTATTGTCTTCAGAGCTGTCATGTGAAAAGTGCTCTTTCTGGCACCAGAAGGCAAGCATTTTCAGTAGGTGGAGGTTGCAGAGAGGCATATCCTGACTCAGTTGGAGAGAAGTATCTACTATAAACCAGGGACTATGCTAACCCCTGCAAAAGAGGTAGTATTGTTCAGTTTTGCAGAAGCAAAAACTAAGGCTCAACTATTTAGCACAATTAAATGGACTGTCTCTACATTCTCTTTCACTGAATTACTTCTTAGCAATATTATGAAAGAGATCATTTCCTAGGAATATTATCAAAGAGGCCTCTGCATTGGGTGGAAGGTTTTTTCTAATGCCAAAATTCTTTGATTCTAGGACATCTTTGTTAAATGGCATTGTGAATCAAATGTAGTTTCTT